GGCTGAACCGCTCCGATCACCGTTTTCTTATTTTGGCGCAACTGCCCTCACTCTATCTCGACCAATTCTGCGTCTTTCAGCAACTTCTTGGGCCCGGTCTACTCGCACGATTCTGAGTGTCACTCCCTGACAGCATTCTGTGTCTATTCATGCGACGGACTCTCGCTATGGGCCCACTTCACCTGCACTTCACTCCGGAGTGGCTCAGGCCGGTTACGCCCATAGCATGCAACCGGTTCAGGCTATGGGTCTAGATTTTTTCGAGAGCCTTTTGGACTAGCAACCCTCCACCATGGTGCATTACCATAGTTGTTCTACCCTCAAGTCCCTTCTAATCATTGTCCTTTACCCCGACCCACTGAAATTTGGTGTCCAAAATATTTGGATTTTTCTGGGGAGCTGGTGCCATCTTGGCATGAATATGAGTGGTCTAGTATGTTGAAATACTTCATATAAAACAATGTATCACTGATTTTGGCCCGCCACCGTGGGTGGTCCTGACGAGCCGTTGGTGTAGCCGGAATCACAGATTCCGCAGGTTACCGCTGCCATCACACCCACCAAATTTGCCCAGTCCCATCCCTTGCAAGTGCACTCCAAGCATACCAGATAGTCCCTAGACCACCCCTGCATCATTCCTGAATGAACAGACCGCGAGTCTGCGCCTATGGCACTTGATTGGGGGGGTGGCTGGTTTCCTAGTATTTGCCCATGTTGGGGGTGTCGGCCGAAGGAAATTCACTGCTCCATCCATATTGCATGTAAATTCGGGAAAATTGTCTGGAACTGTTCTTGTGATGCCTGCCTTCGTCCCAGTACACAGTGGTTTGCATAGAGTCACTGTGGCCTTCGAGAACCAGCCATAAACACTAAGGTGGCCGGAAGCCCGGTCGGCGATAGTATGTATTTTCTTGTTGATGAACCTCAAAACCGCGGTTGGGTAGGAGACTGCCTTACTTACCGTTCTTTAACCTAATTTACTTCTTGTAAATCTGGGCACTAAGCATGCCATGAGATCGACTTGGCGGTGTAGTGGTGAGGTCTGGTCGTTGCTTAGAGTAGCTGTGTGTGTTCATGTTTGGCGAGAGCCTCTAGCTTAGTCATCAGCCAAGCCTTGTTCTGCGCCATCTGCATTCGATCCGTTGCGTCGCCATATCGCAGGATCTCTGGCTGCTCGGGCCTTAGCACGCCAATCTGTCCGTCTCCATCTGGTGATTGGAGTGATATTCGTACCCAGAAGCGCCGTGCCGATCCGATTTTCCGACTTTCCGACATCCACGTCATCCACACCATCCGCCGAACACTGCTGCTTTACCGAAACCCCCGCCGAATCGACTTCCGTTCCATCTCTGCTTCATTCCAAATCATTCTCTTTCTGCTTTACCGCTCCTGCATCATGGCCAAAGAAAAATTCCAGGGCACGACTACCACTTCACATGCCGACTCTACTGCATCCGCAATGCGCGCGACTCTCGTTCCGTTCCCGGAAGGCCTCGACGCCCTCTTTCAATCCCCATCCGATGCGCCCAACAACTACGCCGCAGCGTACCATCGCGCGATTGCCTTTACGGTCTCGCTGGGTGATAATCGTGTCGCGTACCTGTGGCAGCAAGCCCTCAAAATCGGATTCCGGGCGGGTCGCGGTGAAACCCCGGATGGTGCTCCCAAGAAGGTGGCGTCCCACGACTACGTTCTCGGCCGCGAGGCGGGGCGGAAGGAGGGACATACGGAGGGCCTGCGCGATGGAAAGCAGGATGGTCGGAAGGCCGGGAAACTTCAGGGCCTGAAGGAGGGTGAGCTTGTTGGGTTTGAGAAGGGCAAAGCAGAGGGTCTGAGGGAGGGAACGCGCCTGGGTTTCGTTGCGGGCAGGGATTTCGGGGAAAAGCAGGCTGTGAAGCTGAGTAAAGCCCCCCTTTCCAAGCGTGTTCTCGTCGACATCGGAACGGACTCACCTGCCGCCGAGTTATCCACACCCACACCTCCCTCCATCGTCCATGTCTCCGTGCAGACCGACACGCCGTGCATCACCATCCTTCCTTCGACCGTTCCGAGTGTGCCTCTCAATTGGGCGGACGAGCCTTCCGATTTATATGCTCCCGATCGAATTGACTGCCCGCCGCTACATCCCCGCGATCTTTCCGTCCTTCGCTCCGATTCCAGTTCTTTGACGCCGTTCGACACCCTCCGATACCGTGCTCACCGTACGCAGAAATTACCCCGTGCTTCCCACCGTTCTGCGACACACGCGAAATTTCCCCGACAACTCATTGCTCATACTCCTGCATTGCGCCCCCCCACCGTGTCCGTGTCTTTTCCCTCGAAACGCTTCACCGCCGACGCGACTTCTTTCCTCGACTGGGATCGTGACCCGAGGCTCTCTGACCTGAGCCGCGCGCTACGTTCGTTAGGATGGGCGAGATAGGTGGTACGTCATTGGAGGTACGCGACGAGGACGTCGCTTTTGTGTTGGTGGGCAGATGTAGTGGTGAGGTCTGGTCGTTGCTTAGAGTAGCTGTGTGTGTCCATGTTTGGCGAGAGCCTCTAGCTTAGTCATCAGCCAAGCCTTGTTCTGCGCCATCTGCATTCGATCCGTTGCGTCGCCATATCGCAGGATCTCTGGCTGCTCGGGCCTCAGCACGCCAATCTGTCCGTCTCCAGCGGGGATTCTTGGCAGCCGGCCCGGCTCAACCCTAGATGAAGGTTAAGGTTAGGCAGAAAATATTCATTTTTTGCGGCTCAAGAAAATACATACACCCTAAAGAAAGAAAGTTCACAAACAAAGAAAGTTCATAAAAAAAGAGAAAGTTCACAAACAATTTTTTTCATCTCAAGGTTTATTCAAGAGGAGACCCAGAAAATGTTTACTTTCCACCAAAACTGAGCTAAGTTTCTACTAAAAATAGGTGTTTATACGGCAATTTATTAAATGTGCAAGGTGACCGCCATACATAGTTGGTTCACCAGCACAAGCAAATACACCAGTCCATGTGATACATTATGATACTAAGTGTACATGGGCCTTGTCTAAGAAATAACTCCATAGTATAGTAATAGTTTTGTATTTCCTTAATTTATAACCGTTCCCATGAGGTTGTGAGTTCAATCCTGCTAGGTAGTAAGTAATTAATTAAACTGTCCTCCTTATATTCAATTCAAAGTCAATAATCAACTGAAATCAGTAGCCTACAAAGTCACAAATCCAATAAGCGTGGAATTGAATTGACTAACAGGAGCTCAGTTAACATTTGTTACCCCTTACCTTACAATGCCTCATAATGACTCCCATCTTACAAAATTCATAAGGTGTATCTCCTCATATAAGACTCTTGTGAGAGCTGGGACTATTATGACCTTACAAGGCCTTAGAGCGCCTTGCCATCCAAAATACAAATCTCCGACAGAGTGTGTTGGATTTTCTTTTTCTTGTTTTTTTTCTCCATTGAATCCTTAAGATGATAGGATTAGTTGTAGGCCACGAGAACAAATTGGAGGAGGGGGGTTGCCCGTGCAGTCCCAAATTGAAACAATAGCACACACGAAGAAAGCAAAAGCAAAGGAAAAAAACAGATGAAATGCCCTAGGGCGGAGTCAAACCACTGACCGCACCTTATAACAGAGAGAAACCCGAGCTATTAATCCACATGTGTAGCCATTACACCAGAACATCCTGACTGACACATGTTGGGGGGTTGACTTTCACTACGTTCCGGCATCGCCTAAACTTAGCGGGCTAGACTCTGTCTAGCAACGATCGATCAACTAGACAGATCAATAAACACTTCTAAGCCTAAACAGATCTATAAGTGTGTCTAGTTGATCGATCGTTGCTAGACAGAGTCTGGCCCGCTAAGTTTAGGCGATGCCGGAACGTAGTGTTTGGTTGCCCTCTGTGAGACGAGGGACCAGGTAGGATGTTGGTATCCAATGTAAATAAATGCAAAGCCAGTACTGGAATACAGCTCCCAGCTCCGCTTCCAGTGTGAGATTGGATGGGTCTGGCCGAGTTCATTAGATCCTGGATGATTCCCTAAGATCATATCAAATCCCAGCATGAAGAAAATGTAAAGAAAAAAGAAAAAGTGAACAAAATGTGAATGCCCCAGGGCGGAGTCTGCCGACCGAACCTTGAAATGTGTAGCCAATGAGCTATCAGACAACATGCATTACCATGGTCCATTGCACCAGGGCATCTTGACCAAAGTCTCCTTGGATTCTACTTGTTCTGCACCTGCAGCCCAGTGTGATGCGGATGTTACCTCGCGAGGAGAAATGATGATTGGTTGAGACATGGCATTGGGAATATCAGGTCCACAAGCACGGGGAGAACAAAAATTACACCACAATGGAGAGACATGGAGTTGTACAGAAAAGGATGGTGTGCCAAGACGAAAGAGATGAACAAGGAAAATGAAAAAGTGTAAACTGCGATGAGGATAACCGCCGACCACGCCTCGGAATGTGGAAATATCCATTGGATCATTGGATGGCACCGCTTCGGGGGTTGGTTTAGCTGTGTTCTGTGTGGCGAGGGATTAGAATGCTGGCGGTTTGAATTGGCAATGGAATACACCTCTGTCTTTGAGCCTGAAGGTATTGAATTCCAGCACATGCAAAAAAAAGCAATACAATTCGAAAAAGAACAGTCCCCAGGGAAATGCCCCAGGTGAAAGCCTGCCAGCTGGGCAAGAGACACTGGATGAGAATCATGCCAAAGTCAACAGAACCATGGTATGATTCAGCAAGACAGCGACGAGCTACGAACAGATAGTGGTAAAGACGAAGGTACACTCGCATATGTAAGCGGTGATCAGTCCGGTACACCGGGACTGGGTTTACACCAGGGCGGAGTTGAACAGCCGACCACATCTGCAAATTTGAGAAAGGACTGTGCGTTACTGTTATACCAGGGCATCGTGACGAAAGAGAGGTTCAATCTCTGGCAACAAATTAAACCACGCGCGCGAAGAAAAACAAAGCACAAAAACAATGCGGCTACCAAATGCCCCAGGGCGGAGTCGAACCGCCAACCGCACTTTTAGACGTACGTGAAGGCCTATGAGATTGCGCGTGTTACCGTTACACCGGGGCAGCTGAATACATAGGCAGGATCAAGAGGCCACCGATCTCTGGATCCGACCCACTGCAAACAACACGTGCACGGCCGATTGCCGACTCAAACCCCGTTTGGGAAATCCCCCCGCAACACAGTAATTCGACGAAATATATACTCTAGATTCCACAAACATTAATTGGATGGTATGTAATCTAAGATAAGTGTCTGGTCTTCGCTGAATGGGTTCTCGTCTTGTTGGTGGTTCATGGCGGCTGCGTATGAGACGAATCGGGGCTGATTTGAGGGGGCGTGGAGGTAAGCAGAGGTTTTCTAATTAGAGCGTACGAGCCCAACGGGGCGTGGCGCGTCGTTGGTGCGCCGTCGGCGCGTCGCACTCGCGTCGCGCGCAAGTGGCGAGGTGCGGTTTGTTTGTGTCCAAACCGGTCAAAATATTTGGTGGGGGGGGGTCGCCACGTGTTTTGATGGGTGGGTCCGATAAGGAGATCGGACGCCTCTTGGGCAGGATCAAGATGCTTGATGGGTGGTTTGGTTGCGTTGGGTTCTCTGTGACGAGGTATTAGAATTGGACTGCCGGCTGCAACGGAATCGGCAATGGGACACCTCCGCGGTGGATGGATGGGTGGTTGGGTGAGGCTGGACAGATTAAATCCCCGCGCACGGAAAACAGCAAAAGCAAAAGCACCAAACTTGAAGAAAGAAAAAGACAAGATGCCAAGAAGCCAAATGTCATGCCCTGGGGCAGAGTCGAACCGCCTACCGTGCCTTGAATCCTGGTAGCGAACAAACTAAGCGGCGCGGGTTACCGTTACACCGAGGTTCACGCTGTTTGGGAGTTGGTTTCGTTGTGTTCTGGGCGAATAAATGCGAACGGGTTGAGAGAAGTCGAGCCCCGGGAACATAACGAATCGCAGGGCAAAAGCGAAAGCAAATTTTGAAGAAAAAGCGAAAAATAACGAGAATGCTCTAGGGCGGAGTCGAACCGCCGAGCGCGCCTTAACAATAATTCGTTGTTCCCATTAGATGGCGCGTGTTACCGCTACACCAGAGCGTCTAAAAGAAGAAAGGTTTAAGGTCTTTCGGGCGTCAGTTTGGTTGTGTGCTGGGCGAATAAATGCGAAGCCGGCAATGGAATCTGCAATGGAATACACCTCCCTTGGGTGGGTGAGGCTGAACAAATCAAGTTGATCCTAGCAAGGGGAAAAAGCAAAGTTGGAAGTTGAATCATGTAGAAACATGCCCCGGGGCGGAGTCGAACCGCCGGACGTGCCTTAAAATCAATCCACAGCAGAACAATTGGAGGGCACGGGTTATCATTACACCAGGACGTCGTGAGGGAAGGAGGGTTATGGTGCTTGGCCATGGGGTGTTACTGACGATCGGAGTCTGGTGTTGCGAGATTCGAAGCCCGGTGTGGGGACGGGGGACTGGGAGGGGATCGCGAACTCGAGAGAACGGTTCCCCGCCGTCGGATTTGTCGAGTCCGAGTCTCAGTCAGAGCGGATGGCTGGAAAATGCAATCAGCGGCCAGTGGCAATTGATTATTGTGGTGCAGGAGGAAGATGTACGTTCATGATGCTGACGCGGCTCCCCGCCTGACGTCGTCGTCGCACGAACCAGCCCGCGTTCACATTCTGTGGTGGGGCGGCCTGGTTGTGTTCTGTGTGATGAGGGATCAGAATGGGGTTGCTGTTGGAATCGGCACTGGAATACACCTCCAGCGTCGGATTGAATGGGCGGGTGGGTCTGAGAACCGAACCGATCAAGCCCCAGCAGACGCGAAGAAAATCAAAACCGAAAGCGAAAATAAACTTGAAAAAAAACAAAAGATTTGAGCTGGATGAACACACCCTAGGGCGGAGTCGAACCGCCGGCCGCGCCATAAAAGCGATTGAGTACATATTACACCAGGGCACCTTAAAAACTTTATGTTTTGTGGTGAGTTGTAATCATTACCGAATAGTAAATACATGCGAAGCCAGCAATCGGATACGGCTCCCCTGCTCGGATTGAAGAGTGTCGAACAGATCAACCTAGCACGAAGAAAATCAAACTCAAAATCAAAAAAAAATCAAGAAGAGCAAACTTGAAAGAAAAGTGCAAGAGTTTATTTAATCCCATGCCCTAGGGCGGAGTCGAACCGCCGACCGCGCATCTCATTTGTGATGTAAATATTAGGCGGCGCGTGTTGCCGTTACACCAGGGCAGCTTGACACATAAGAAGGCTCGAGGTGTTTGGAGTTCAGCTTGGTTGCATCTGGGCGAATAAATGCGGAGCTGGCGACGGAATACACCCCCCCGCGGATTGGATGGGTGGTTGGAACCGGTGTGAGGCTGAACAGATCAAGTTGATCCTAGCAAGGGGAAAAAGCAAACTTGAAAGACGAATAAAAGAAAACGTTACTCTGCTGAACCAAGCCCCAGGGCGGAGTCAAACCGCCGACCGCGCTTTAAATCGAACCTTTGGCGAAGTAATTGGAGGCACGGGTTACCATTACACCAGGACGTCGTGAGGGAAGGAGGGTTATGATGTTTCGCCATGGGGTGTTACTGACGATCGGAGTCTGATGTCGCGAGATTCGAAGGCCGGTGTGGGGACGGGGGACTGGGAGGGGATCGCGAATTCGAGTGAACGGCTCCCCGTCGTCGGATTCGTCGAGTCCGAGTCTCGATCGGAGCGGATGACTGGGAAATTTAATCAGCCAGCCAATGACAATTGATTATTGTGGTGCAGGAGGCAGATGAGGGAAGATGTGCGTTCATGACTGACACGGCTCCCCGTCTGACGTCGTCGCGCAGCGCCAAGCCAAGCCAAAAAAGAAGAAGGAAAGAAAACGAGAAAGTAAAGAAGTAGTGGAGGTTGTGGGGCGGGTGGACACGGGACGGGGTGACATGATTAGCCGTCGGGCAACTCTCTACGGGGAGGGAAGGAGGGTTTTGATTCGCACAGGGTGTCGAATAGGCGTCGCTTGGATGTCCTCGGTTCACAAACGCCTCACGCGACACGACGGAAATTGAGAACACGAGCTGCGTCAGGGACAGACTACAGTTACTACTATTAGTCGGCCGCGGCTAACATCGCAGGTGACGCAAAACACGTCAATTGTGCGCCTGTTCCTGTGGCTGCCTCGAACTGGCGTCGCTTGAGGATCCGGAAAATCAGGCTGGGCCCTGCCCCACACCAATTCCAAATAAGTCGAGAGAAACCCTAGGCCAAGGTACGTGACGGCCGCCAAAACCAAAACACATTTTTTCGCAGGCCCGCGCCCGTCGAGATCGGCGCCGCACGCAGGGAAACCGCTATGGCCGTGTACGTGCGCGTGCTTGCTGCCTTCTGTGGCAGCTGCGCCTTTTGGTGATATATATTACGGCGCTGGGAGCGCGCATCCTTTGCAGGCAATTGCAATTGCGGGGACGCTGGGAAATTCCAGCGCCATGACGGAGCGGAACTCGCGGCGCGGGATTTGCGTCCGATGCTTCGGCCGAACTAAAAGAAACAGAACCCGGAGCGGTATATTTCCGCGCGCGAGTTGGACCCGACGAGCACGGGGCCAATTGCTATACTTATAAGGAATCCGCGGACGACCTGTATAGGACGACGGTGCGCGAGCCGAGATGAACCTCTGTGAGTGGAACCGAAATGAACTTGAGACAGACTGAGAAGGCCTGAAGGGGCGCACGCGGCACGCGACCAATGGCGAAATAGGGAATTGATGGGGCCGGATCAGGTCGGGTGGCCGTCGCCAGCTGTGTATGTATCGTGATCGACGGCCCCCGAAACGAAGAAAAACGCACTACGTAAATGCGCCCCAAACGAAAACCCGCCTCTCCCCTCCGAGCCAACCACCCGGCCGCTTCTCCTCTTCCTCCCGCAAGACTGAGTGAGACTATTAGTACTGAGAGACGCCTGCGCTCGCCCCCCGTACGACTCCTAGCGACCTCCTCGGATTCACTCCACCGACCCGCTCCACCCCGCCACCCACGATGAAGAGCTGCCTCAAATCCCCTTCCGCGTCCGGCTCCCCCTCTGCCCCGGGCACGCCCGACCCCAACGGGCCCCCCTGCCACCGCAAATGCGTCGCGTTTCCTCCCGACGCCGCCGCCTTTGCCGAAATCCACTGGGCAGACGAGTGGGACCGCACCCCCACCGAGCCCGCGCGCCGCCTCTCCTACCAGTGCGTCCCCCCAAAAAAACAAGACCCCTAATAAGGCTAACTCGATTGCAGAGAAGTCCTCGAGCTCAAAGAGATCCAGCAGTCCCTCCCGCACGCCCCGCAGCCCTGGGACCCGCGCCCAGGAAAGCACCTCCTCTCCGCCGTCCCCATCGGCCTCCTCCCCCTCGCCGTCGCCGCCGACCCCGCCCCTGTCTCCCCGACGTCCCCGCCCCCGCAGGACGCCCCCGCGCAGTACCAGACGCCCTTTGTCATGCCCCCCGGGCGCGCGCGCGCGCAGCCCCCCGCCGCGCGCCTCGCCTCGCCCGCGCTCACGCACCTCCGCCCGCCGCCCCCCGCGGCCCCCCGCGCGAAGCCCGCGTTCTCGTTCCTCCCGCTCCTGCCGTCCCCCTCCCCCTGCCCCTCCCCGTCGCCTCCCCCCTCCGCCGCGTCCCCGTCCCCCGCCGCCCCCTCTTCTCTCACCCCCCCACCCCTCCCCTCCCCCTCCGCCTCCTCGTACTTCCCCGCCCGCGCCGCCGCCGACGGCGAGCCCGACCGCGTCCTGCCCCCGCCCTCCCCGTCCGCCTCCCCCATCAAGCGCCCAAACGGAAAAGGCACAGGGGGCTGCTACGCCCACGCGTACCGTGCGGCCGAGGCCGCGGCGTACTCCCCGCCCTTCGGCTCGAGCTTGTACGACTACAAGGCGGACCGCGCGGGGCTGCTTGGGAGCGCGAGCGAGCGCCGGGAGGACGCGCCGTTAGCACCGGGCGCAGGAACAGGAAGCGCACAGGGCAAGGCAAAGCGGCGCAAGACGCGCAAGAGCTTCATGCTGATCAATGACGAGGTCGTCGAGATCGAGGAGGACGACGGAGAGGCGAGCGGGGACGACGCGGAGCCTCCTTCGCCGACGAAGACGCCGACAACGGCGCCCAAGGTCGAGGGCACAGCGCAGAAGGATAAGGTCGAGCCGACCCCGACCCCGCCGCCGACCCCGACCCCCACGCGCAAATCCGACCGCCCGCTCTCGCCCTCGGCCCCGCTTACCCCGCTCTCGCCGTCGAGCCCGCGCGCGCAGACGCCAACGCACCCGCAACCGCAAACAGCCCAGGCCCAGGCCCAGGCGCAAGCCCAGGCCCAGGCGCAAGCCCAGGCCCAGGCGGGGCGCCTCTCGCCCGTGCAGCCGCGCGCGAGCTCGCGGCTCGTGCGCGTGTAGCGCCGTGTGTCGCTCGTCGTCGTCGTCGTCGTCGCGGGGAGTCGAGTAGAAGGAGGAGGAGGAGTCGAGTCGTAGACGGCGGGAGAACTAGTAGGCGGACGCGCGTCCCCGCGGAGCCGCTGCGTGAATCGTGCTTATGCCTGTGCTTATCCCTAATGTGGCGGATCGCCGGCGGGGATATGTACCTGCGCTACATCTGTAGATGAGGATCATGAGGTTAGTTGGTATGTAGTGGGGTGAAGGGGACGAGCGGGACGCTGCCTACCTAGATTTTTTAAATTATCGTCCGCAGAGCGCGTTATTGCTGTGCGGAATTAGATTCGATGATTGCTTTGCGTCGATGGTGGAGGGAGAGCCCAGAACGAGTTCGAAGGGAAGCGCAGGAGGGAGGGGGCCGGGAGGCAGGCAGGCAGGACGGGAAGGAAGGAAGTGGAGCTTAATAGATAATTTTTATATGTAGTGACTCCCAACGGAGGTTGACAGAGGCAATGGCCAAGACATTAGACAATGGCTGACGGTGACAGAGGCTGGCGTCAACGTTAACTCCAAATTGCGCCCAGCGCGTCTGCACTTGCAGGCTGCTTCTTGTACTTCAAATGTCTCACTAGGGAGGCGCGTGTGCGGTGACTGCGCATGTGCGGTGACCCCCGCGCACGCGTACGGCGCGCCGCACCGTGCACGAGGGGACGACTGGCTCGGACTCGGAGGCAGTCTGCCAAGAGCCAAGAGCCAAGAGCGCTATGTAGCTGCCAAGAGAGACTGCCCTACGTGTTCGTTATCTTGGCTCGACCGTCTCTGCCGCCCGGGCCCCACTCGTCCGTCCGCGCGTTCGTTCGTTCGCTCGGTTCCGTTCTATCTGGTTTACTCCGCCTCGGAGTCATCTGGGCGCCGATTCCAACTAGCGCTGTCAGCTCCAACTTCCAAGCTAGTCTGCACCTGGACTTGCAGGCGCCTTAGCTTGCGTTACGCGGACTTCAAACGACTGGAGGCGCAGCGGTGACGACCTCGCCGCACCGTGCACGAGAGGACGTCTAAAGAGAGACCTAGCTGCGTCATTGTCATTGTCTTGGCTCGGACTCCCGCGGCCGCTCGTGCTTTGTTTCGTTCTACCTGCCAAAGCCTTAACTTTACTCCCATTCCGTCTGGCGGACAGAGGCCGTGCGCAACTCCAAGCTGCAGCCTGCGGCGGGTCTGAACTTCCGGGCTGTTTTGTGCGTTACGCGTACTTCAAACAACTGGGACTGGGAGGCACTGGCGGTGACTCGCCGCACCGTGCGAGAGGGGAAGGCTGTCGAGAGAGCCATCCCCTCGTTATCTTGGCTCAGATCCCGCTGCCCGCGGCCGCTCGTGCTTTGTTTCGTTCTATCTGCCAGAGGTTTACTCCCCGGGGCTCCGGAGGCTGTCAACTCCAAGCTGCCAGCGGCGGGTCTGCACTTGGACTTCCAGGCGCCCTAGGCCTGCTTCTTGCTGCTTCTTACGTGCTTCAAACTTGACACGGCTGGGAGGCGCATGTACGACGGCTCGCCGCGAGACAAAGAGAGGAAGGCTGCCAGAGAGCCTACTAACTAGAGCCCTACGGCCTGCGGGTCGGCACTTAGGAGCCCTGCTTCGTGCGTTACATTACGTGTACTTCAAACGACTCGGACTGGGAGGCACTGGCAGTGACGACTCGCCGTACGAGCCTGAGAGGAAGGCTGTTGCTGGAGTTTCTGCTTGAAGGGATTCAATCCTTGCGTTCACGCGATGTTCGATTCAATGGTGATAAGATTTACACGATGGCGGTGAAGCCGGGGTGGTACAAGCTCATGAGGTATGTGGTCTTTTCCTACTGTATGTATACTG